GACACTTCTCCCGTACAAGCAGGCCGATGAGGGTCCCCATCGCCAGATGTATCAGGTCGCCGCGTAGGTTGCATTGGTGACGGTGGGGGGACCCATGCAAAATAATAAACAAGCAACAGCAGGTACTGCAGGCGGGCTAACACTAGCTGGTCACCCCCTCCATCTCCTCACCCTCCTCCTTCCCCTCCCCCACACTGCTGCAGGAGCAGCAGAGAGGGGGGGGAAGAGAGGAGAGGTGGAGGGACGGCTGCTGGTTGCCTCACACCCGCCACCCCGGTGCCACTCCCCCTTCTCCCCCACACCCTCACACCCTCCCCCCCAGCGGCAGCTGCAGTAGTGGGAACGAAAGGAGGAGGAGGGGAAGGGAAGGAAACGACCCAAAGCTCCAACACCCGCCACCCCCATACCCTCCTCCCCACGGCTGCAGGGAAACAAAGGAGGAGGGGGTGGGCGGGAAGAAAGCCGCAGAGCGGCTACATTGTGTCGGCGCAGGTAGGTCAGGGGCGGCTGCAGGGAGAGCAGGTGCGGAGAGGGCCCGTCGCGTGCCACCGGGCGCACGACGGGCAAGTTTAAGTTTAGGGCCCGGTCGTGTGCCTCGGGGCGCACGACGAGCAGGGCACCGTCGCGTGCCACGGGGCGCACGACGGGCAGGTTTAGGGCACCGTCGCGTGCCACGGGGCGCGCGACGGGCAGAGAAGGAGTCACTCGCCAACCGGGGGCGGGACAAGAGAAAATCGCCACGCGCCCTAGGCGCGCGACCGAGAAAAATAGCAGCGGAAGCATATTGGCGGGCCCACAGGCCAGGACGTAAAACGCTCTGATAGCATGACAGAATCGTAGGAAGGAGATCAAGTTTAACTAGGGCCTAGGCTTAGGAGCCTAGGCCCAACTAGGATGTCGAGTAGTTTGTGCCTAGGGTGAGATGTCGAGGAAGTTGGAAAGGATGGTTTCACTATAGGTTTCGAAGAACATATAGCAAAGGAAACAAATAAGGTGCACCACCAAACAAAGTTTATAATAACTACACTAACTACAGCTACAGGCAGTTACAAATATAAGTTCTGACAGTTTCAAGGGGTACGAACGACTTACGACGAACTGAAGAAGGTGGCAGCAACAGTGAAGGGGGGGAGAGACAGATGTAAAATTTCATCCCTGCCCACGAAATATCGGCGCATTACGACAAATCTCTCGCGTGAATCCATTCCAACCCTGCTACTGACAACTCGCCTTCGACCCGCCCACGACAACTGCATTAATTCTCAACCACGTCAGAAGCTGCCAGCTGCAACTGCTGAAGATATCGGCTGATTCTGGCAACGTGAAGACAAAAAGGTTCAGTTCGAGTATTCGATAATTTTAGTTTCGGTTTCTGGGCTACATCTTCTGGCTCGCCCTCGAAGATTTTTCGGGCACGTAATACCTGGTTTCGTCATCAACTTCTCCACACCGACGCATTTTCGTCCGGACATCACAACTCAACGCTTTTCTTCGTGAGACTTAACACCTAGGCCCAGTTCGGCAGGCATTAAAAAATGGGCCTCGGGGGATGGGTTACAGTAAACCGACCACCTTGGAACCTTCCTTGATAAGCGCGTGAAAGATTATACAGGCTCGATATAAGCGGATCATCGCCGAACCAGACAATAATGGAATGCTAGCCAAACACCCCTTTTAACGCTGGCATTTTCTACCAGAGGAATCTTCCTCGAACCCTATTTCTCAGGCAAACTATCCATTTTCTGATCCGCCGCACCATGCGGCCTCGAGGTCCCGCACTACACGGGGGATCAGTGATGCGGCCAATCAAAAGTGACTAGTCAAATATGCCAGCCAATCGCATGATCACGCAATCCTTCAAGGAAACTGCCTCATAGCTTCTGCGAAGCTAAATCCTCGATTGATGGCATTAATCTAGGCCCATAAAATGCCAACCAAACACTCGGGCCATTTTTTCCGAAGTTGCACTGCAGCTACAGTCTGATATCGCTGCTGCTTCGAGGGGGCATTTTTTGGGGGCCCGTTAAAAATGCCCATAATGGCCATAATGGCCATAATTCCTGCCGAGCTGGGCCCTGGATTTTCGTTGGTTTTCATCTCGGCGCAGCAGTGAAACATTTTCTGGGCCCAGTTCGGCAGGCATTATGGCCATTATCGCCATTATGGGCATTTTTACCGGTCCCCAAAAAATGGCCCCAAGAAACAGATCGAAAACAGACTGTAGCTGCAGTGAAACTTCGGAAAAATGGGCCCGAGCGTTCGGTTGGCATTAAATGGGCCAATATTAATGGCATCAACCGAAAACGACACTTCGGAGAAGCCCGTATGCAGCTGCGCTGATGGAGCGCAGAATCACTGTACTGGCAGCCCGGGCAGCCCTGCAAAGCAGCGGTGGACGTCGAAAAAAATCGGGCAAGGGAAATTGATCGTTCGATGTGTTAGTGATGGTGTGTTGGTGATGTGTGATTTTCCTGCGGGCACGAAGAGGGGTGAGAAAGACCGGGATTTGTTTTTTTCAGGGCAAGGTGTGATTGCCCCGAATCAATGATCCCCCGCATGGTGCGGGACCTCGAGGCCGCATGGTGCGGCGGATGAGAAAATGGACAGTTTGCCTGAGAAATATGGTTCGAGGAAGGTTCCTCTGCTGGAAAATGCCAGAGGTAAAAGGGGTGTTCATTGTATCGTCATTCTGTAATTCATTCTCGTTATTCGTTATTCTGCGCACTCTCTTTTACAACTCATAACAGGTTGTAACTGTTGTAACAGTCTCCTTATCTTGTAACAAGTATCGAGCTCATACGACTTCGGGAAGCTCTGGGTGTCAGATATTCTTGGAGACTGGTGGTGGAGGCTCGCTCTCCTCAAATCTAGGTGATCGCAGAATCGCATAACGACTGAATGCGACTGCTCAGGGCTTCTCTGGGCTGAGTGAAGTTCGTCTGGGTCCCACCGACAGCGTAAGTGGCCAATCATCAATAGATGTGGCGAAAACACCATTGTCTGGGAAAACCCAACCCCAAGCAACGAGCACCCTCCGTCAATTTCTATGTGAAGTGAGTGACTCTTCTGGTACACCCCCAAACCCAGCATCCAGGCACAGGCTCTGTCCAACCATTTCTCTGATATGAAATCCGTTTTCCTCTGATTGATCAGTTAGCTACCTTGAATGAACTTCGGAGGATTCACGAATCTGTGGACGCCTTCTTGTTAGAGCCTCGTATACTCCCTCGAGCAGGCTGTTGGAAAGTTGGTGTTAGCCTTAGAACGTTATCGTGTTGCTGCTGTGGTTTTGCTTTGATCCAGTTAAAGAGCAGCAAGGGGAAGTTGCACGGTTTTGCACAATTAGTCATGGCTGAGTCTAAGCCAAAGGTTTTCACGTTAGAGGAGGTTTCGAAACACAACACCGAGAAGGATTGCTGGCTGATCGTGTCAGGCAAGGTGAAGTAACGATGCTCAAACTGGTTTCATACTAGCCATTCTGGCTTAGATCTGAATGATCTGTTACCGCAGCCTCGTCTATAGCTAACCAGATTGGAGTTTCTCCCTGTGCAGGTGTATGACGTGACTAAGTTTATGGATGATCATCCTGGTGGATCCGATGTCATGGTCTCATCGACAGGTAAGCCCTACCATGTACATTCTCTGTGCAGACGCATCTGTTTTCATTTTCACCTATTGAGGTCTGACACCCTAATCTATTTCCCGATGACTTTTCGCGTGGTCGTCTTCAGGCAAAGACGCAACCGATGATTTCGAGGACATCGGCCACAGTAAGACCGCCAGAGACATGCTTGCCCAGTACTATGTCGGCGAGATCGACGAGTCGACACTACCAGAGAAGCCGAGTAGGAACGGAAGCAGTGGAGGAGGGAGCCAGGAGAGTACGTCAACGTTGAAGCTGTTGCTGCAGTTCTTGATACCCGTGCTTATGGTGGTGCTGGCTCTTGCGGTTAGATCCTACACACAGGTTCCTAAGGTCGAGAGCTAACTTGACATGATACTATGGCCAATAAAACCATGCTAGTCAATCGGTTGCTATGCGAAGGAGCCCTCGCTCTCAATCTTCTATACAGTCCAGCTATGCCAGTTTTGACGGACGTCCACGCATAAACATGCACTGCGCTTCTCAACACGACCCCGACCACCTCCACCACCACTCCTCTTCTTCTTCTTCCTCCTCCTGATCCCTCCTCCTCCTCCTCTTCCTCCTCCTCCTCCTCCTCCTCCTCCTCCTCCTCCTCCTCCTCCTCCTCCTCCTCCTCCTCCCCCCCCCCCCCCCTCCCCATGTGCTATGCCTTCGCCTCCTCTCCGTCTCCTCTCCTCCTATCCTCCTCCTAATCGTCCCCCCCCTTCCTCCTCCCCCTCCCTCCCCGAGTCCCCCTACCCCCCCCCCCCCCCCCCCCCCCGCCTCCCACTCCCTCTTTCTCTCCCCATGCCCCCCCCTTCCTTTCATCTCCCCCTCCTCCTCCCTGACACCCCATCCTCCTCCTCCTCCCTCTCCTCGGCTCGGCCTCCCATCCCCGCCCCCTTCCTCTCCATCTCCCCCTCTGTGCCCGGCATCTGACGAGAAGCTACGGTAAAGCCTTGTGTTCCAAGAGAGCGAATTACGGTAGGTATGGTGAAATAAACAAAAATGAGTTCACCAACACACAATTTTTATCGCCCCATCGTTCAAGCATTCTAGATTTTCTCACAATATTGGAGTGTCACTACAATTTAACAAGACTAAAAGAGAAAGCAGTACCTAGAAGTGCGGATATGAGAATCTTGGTGGGGCATTTCAGTACAAACCAACAAGAGACAAGGTTTACTAAAGTAGGTATGCATGACTGCTGCAGCACAGGGATGCGGCACTGCATGCATAGGCATGTTCCACTGAAGCAAGGACTGCAATGACATGCCCTGGTGAGCAGCCAACAGCTCTACAAATCTGGAGAAACACAATTACCTGAACTTGCTGCTCCCACTCTTCACCTCCCCCTAACTCCTCAGCTACTTGATCATACTTTGGTATAAGTCGGGATGATCACCCGATCCACCCCATGGGCAATGAACCATCTGCTCAAGTACAGCCCCGGGATGCGAAAAGTGGTCCACTGGTCTGCCTTCAAGTACGGCCCTTCAGCAAACGACACAGCGCTGTTGTTTCCCATCGGCGTCATCTTAAAGAGCGGCTGCCTGAGCTGAGTGCCTATCGCTGTCCGCAGCTTCACCTGCCTCATCTGCGGGAGGGTCATTCGGCGGCGCAGGATGTGGAACGCTGTGATGTTGTACAGTGTGGGGATGCTGCTGCTCTTAGCGGGGATTCTCTTAGCGAGGGCTTCTGCCTGCACGTTGTTGGGGATGAGAATGGACGCGTCTCGCAGCGCCGACAGGTCGTACTTGGAGTTCACTGCATGGGAAGGCAAGGGCGGCGAGAGAGGGGAGAAGGAAAAGGCGGTGAATGGATCTGAAAAAAACAGAACGTGGGATGTTTGTGTGTGAGGGGGGGGGGGAGAGTTGAACCTTTATATAGCCAAGCTGAGAAGAGGAACACAAATTGGGCACAAACTGATCCAAGGGAAGGGGAAGGGCGGCGGGGAAAGGGGTAAAGAGAGGAGAAGGAAAAAGCGTGAGTGATTTCAAAAACAAAAAGGAGGTGGGGTGTTGTGGGGGGCGGGGGGGTGGTCAGCTTGGTGTAGTCAATTAGGGAGCGAACACGAAACGGGAAATCTCGTTATGAAGAAATCAGCAATGTCTTACGTGCGAGGTTGATGTATTTGGTGGCGTCCTGCGCGTATCGCGAGTACTGGGGGTACCGCTTCACGATGCTCTTCGCCATGCTCTGCAGCTCCGCGCGCAGCTGCGCCTTCGTCGGCGGAGGAGGCTGCGCGCAGCCCGTCGGAACGCACGCCGCCGCCACGCAGATGACTGCTACGAGGAGCAAGCCACCTCCGAGTCGTGCCGCCATTGCCGGTAATTGCTGCGAGCTTCAGACACGTAACTGGGCCTTGCGGATGGTATCGCCCTTGAGAGTGAAGGGTGTACACGCTGATCGTTGAGTGTGAGAGACTAAAGGGGACGATCCTGAGCTGGATGGTATGAGCTGGTTGGAGTCTCTGAGGCGCACTGTAACAGCTGGTATTATCGTCGTCGTTGGAATTGTTCGTCGTGCTGGGAGCTAGTAGGTCGTCGTCGTATTAGGTTGCTGCTAAACGGTTGTGATGTATGTAGGTTCTAACCAAGCCGTATTAATAGGCTCACGAGAGGTGCCATGCTGGCCGGAGCGCTCCTGTCCGGATCGCTCCTGGCCAGATAGACCCTTCACAGCTCGCCCGTTCCATGTAACGCCCAAAGGCGCACACCGCGACGACTCGCCGCCATGGACACGCGAGGAAGCTGAGTCGCCGCCAGCAGCGGTGACATGCGGGGAAACCGCTGCGCCAGTGTCGCCATATAGACGCCGTGCCGCGCCGATTCGGCGCGGAACGACTGGCTAGATAACGCGTCAGCATATGGTGCGATACTGACAGGAAGAGCCACGAACCGTCCTTTTTCTACATTTCACGTGTGTGAGCTGGTGTGAATGTTCCTAGCCGACACCTCTAGTCGATAGCATTTGTGAAAGTTCCGCAACTGCGGTTTAGAAGGTTTTAATCACGTTCCGAAACGTTTAGAAACTGTTTAGAGAGCTAACTTTGTGGGTCGATTGCCATGCGTGTGCGATGACGCGTGTGCGATGACGCGTGTGCGACGACGCGTGTACGAGGATCCTGTGCGACGAAGCCTGTGCGATTCCGCTTGTACGACGACCTTTTTGCGAAACAGTGATTCGGTGCCACATTGTGGGGGGGACGGTCAGTCGGACCAGTCGATGTTGTGTATGCAGGTAACGGGTGTACTCTCAAGTCCTAGTGTTCCTTTTATGTTCTCTTCCCATACCAAGTGCACAACAACATATGGCATGTCACGCACTTTCTAGGAAAGGATTTTTTTTTCAACATTCCTTACCGCGTGCTTCAACACCGCGTACAAGACCAACCGTTGTTCGCCAGTTCGGGGCTTCGCCAACCTTCGCGCGATGCATTTGCCAAACCATGCATCGCTGGCCTGGCCGAGTCGGCCTACGCCTCGGACTAGCCCGAACCTCGATGCCAGCATACCGTAATACTATTTGCATTTTCGCTTATTAAGTATTCGCTCATGCCTTCGCCCATAATTTGTATTCATTTGACACGTGCAATCCTCGCTACCTCGTTCCGTTGCACCCGTAACACTTGGCTATCACAGCCACTTTCCTTTTCGGACCGTGCATTTCCACAACCAGCAGAAACCCACTTTTGATTTTTTCACTCTGATGGACTCACGCCCCTAAGCGAACTAGGAGCTGCTGTCCTCGCGCTCTCTCGTAAGCGCATACAGCCACGACTGCGCCTAGCACCAAGACCGGTCGACGCCCTTCGATATGGAAGAACATGTCGACCTTGCGAGCCTCACGCAGGAGCGCCTGAATACACTGCTGCAACAACTGCATGAAAGCTCCGAAGAAATTGGAGAAACGCACGTCACTGCAGAATGACATCACACGGGCACAGCAAGCACAATCACAAACGCAAGGAACTGTCAGAATCCCAACCACTAGACCATTGGGATAAAAGGGTTTTTTAAGTAGCCGGTCAGTGCACCCATAACCCCCCAGGCCAACATGCCTGTAACCCTTCCCTAGGATCAATCGGGGATCACCAGTGGACCTCTGACACCCCCCCGCACTGGGATGCCCGAAGTGCACACACTGGGATTCGAACCCGAGACCTTCGCTCTGATACCATGTCAGAATCCCAACCACTAGACCATTGGGATAAAAAGGCTTGTTAAGTAGCGGGTCAGTGCGTCCATAACCCCCCAGGACAACGAGCCTGTAACCCTTCCCTAGGATCAATCGGGGATCACCAGTGGACCTCTGACAGGAACAGCAGCACAAGGAGCACCATCCACCGCCCAATACGAGGGTGTGGGACAACCCTCGAGTGCCGCTAGTGATGGCGTCGAACGCAATGATGTTCGCGACGACCACAGAACGACACACCCCGGGGCGACGAACGCGACTGGGAGTCAACGTCGCGTCAACATTGCGACACCGATCGATGAGTCGGCACTGCCGTCCACTGATGCCGCTCAAGCCGCAGCGTCCGCCTTCCTTCGATCCGAGTCAACGGGGTGGTCCGACGGTGCAGGCGTGGCTCTTCACCTAAATGTATTTTTCGATGCGAACTACGTCTCGTCGGACGCGATGGATTGGTGGCGTGTTATCGTCACGAAGCCGACCGACTACGAGGCTCTACCGCCACGGGAAGGACCAACAGGACCTTAGGCGCCGTCCTATTTCGTGGAGGAAGCCCCGTATCGCACGTGGGACGCGTGGTGCGCAGGTATGCACGGAAGATTCGAGCCAATCGCAGAATCGATCGCCGCGCGACAGAAGCTCCGCACTTGGCTCCAGCTCGATTCCGTCCAGGACTACACCAGCGGGTTTCTGGCGCTGTACGAGCGGGTGGGAAATATGCATGAAGCGAAACGCATCGGCCGCTATGTCGGCGGCCTGAAAAGCGACATCGCGCAGGAGATCCTACTTCGCAACGTCACCGAACGAGATTCTCGCCATGGCAGAAAAACTCGATTTCCTCCACCAACCGAGACCGGGGTCCTACGGCAACAGCAGCAGCTGGGGACACCGAGCTCGTGGGACGAACGAGCATGCCACAATACGCTATCAGAAGTAAGAACAAATGAATGAATTAGCAGCAAGATGGGTACAAGTGGGAAACCCTAATTGGGTTGTACCCCATATGGGCCTACACAATAAGCAGTATATAAGTTTGACACTCCCCCATAGGCAAAGTGGGGGAGAACAAGAGGTCACAAGACCGGTCAAGAAAAGCAAAGCAAGCTCAGGGTGGATCACGAAGTCACCACGCATTTTGAGCACAAACAAATGGCCACAAGGCCAGTTCACATGAAGATTTATATAAAGGAGAACAAGCAGTACAGTGATCACAACCTAGCAAGTGTAAGCATGCAGGTAAATGTATATAGATCACAGTACAAGCAAAGTCCAGAAGTGAGCAAGTGAGACCAAGTAGGCACAAGGCCTAGAACAGTACAGAAACGCTGATGATCACAAGGCTGAAGTGCCTTGGTGAAGATATCAGCAGTGTTGGCCCGAGAGGCCACGTAAGTAAGACGAAGTTGACCACGCTGCTGCAACTCTCGAGCAAGGAAGTAGCGCAAAGCGATGTGCTTCGTTCTGTGCTCCAGTCTGTGCTCCTGACACAAGGCAATCATGGCCTTGTTGTCGACGTACAGAACTGGAGGAGAACGAGGCGGCTCTCCCAAGTCAGTCAGCAGGTAGGTGAGCCAGCGTAACTCCTGTGCAGCCATGGCCCCTGCGTAGATCTCAGCCTCACAGCAGGAACTGAGAACAGAACACGAGCGGGTGGACCGCCACGAAACAGAGCCGGAGCCAAGGCTAAAAGTGTAACCCTGTGATGACCGCTGCGTAGCCAAGTCGTCAACCCAAGAAGCGTCTGCGTGGCCAGTGAGGACAACTCAAGCCCGTCCTCCAAGCACGAGCCCCATGCCCGACGTACTGCACAAGTAGCGCAACACCCTCTTAGCGGCCTTCCAGTGCTCTGGTCGGTGTCTCCCAGGCGCAACGTAGCGTGCAAGGATGCTAAGAGGGTAGGCAAGGTCAGGTCGAGTGCAGGTCATCAGGTACATGAGGCAGCCCACAAGCTCTGGATACGGGCCACTCGGCTCTACGGACTCATCCGAAGGCAGAGCTGAGAGCGAGTGACCGGTAGGCAGAGGAGTGGACTGTGCTGTCGAAGCGCTGAAGGACCTGCTGCACCACGTGTGGCTGAGTCAAGGTAATAGTGCGCTGTGCTCTGTCCCGGGTGATCTGCAAGCCAAGATAGCTGCGCAGCTCACCCAAGTCTGTGCACGAGTGTCTCTTCTGCAGCTCCGAATTCACAAAGGTCAGTTCAGCAGTGTAAGCAGTGGCAAAGACCAAGTCGTCGACGTACACGAGGATGTAGAACGGCGGCAGAGAATTGTCGGTACGTAGAAACAGCGACGGGTCAGCAATCGAAGGAGCAAACCCAAGAGCCGCAAGCGCCGTCCTCAGTGTGTCGTGCCACTCGCGAGGCGCCTGGCAGAGACCGTAGACTGGCCGCCGGAGGCTCCACTGGGTACCTGCAGGAAACGACCCAGTGAAGCTAGGTGGGCGGCGCAGCCAGATCTCCTCGTGCAGGCTGCCCTGTAGGAAGGCTGTACTGAATTCAAGAGAGTGAAGCTCGTAGTCACGCTGAGCGGCGACGTGCAACAGCACCCGAAGAAGTCAACTCCCTGTTGCTGACTGAAGCCTCGAGCAACGTAACGCGCCTTGAAGACAGGCGGAGAACCCGGCGGTCGCTTCACTCTGAAAATCCACATGCCACTGACGATGTTCGCCCCAGGTGGGGGAACCTCGTCGACGTAAGTGCCTGTGGACTTCCAGGAAGCCATCTCTGCGTCCATGGCTGTCTGCCACTGAGAGAGGTAGGGACCCTCAATCGCCTCTGCGTAAGAGCGCGGGGCCGGGATGTCTGGTGCATCCGGGTTTCCCTCAGGTGCAATCAGCATGGACACAAGATGAGGTACAGTAGCTGCAAAATACTCAAAGTCCTCCTGCCTGTCCTCAAGGACGTCCGTGCCAAGAGCAGACTCACCCCGAACGGACAAAGGACAGACAGACTCAGACTCAGCAACAAGACTAGCGGCGTAGTCGAGGCAACAGGCGGCAGCAAAGTCAACAAGCTCAGCAACTAGGGCAGACGCAGCAGTGGACTCAAACGAAGGGTCAGTGGCGAGAAGACGTGTGACAGTAGGACTGGCAGCACGAGCAAGGTCTGACGGCGGCTCAGCAACGTCAGG